ATTGAGAAATAGATTTAAGATAACTGTCTTAAAGCACCTAACTGGACTGTTGTGCAGACTTATTCCAGCTTAGCCATCTTTGTTTCATGCTCTGCTTTTTCTGAAAGCTCTGTTACAACATAGTAATTTTTTTCTCTTTGTTCTTTCTGCATTGGCAACTAGTGCCAAGTGAGGTGTTTGTATTGGAACATATGGGCTGTGTCTCTGTAGACATTTATCAGAGTTCAGATAATGTAAAATGGAAGACTCATCCAGTGTCATTCTTCTGTTTTAGACAAAATCAAGCAGGGAAGTCTCATAAGATCACTAACACGAAAGGATCTTAAAGTAGGCCCTGAATACGTGTACAGGTATCACTCAACCAAACACTGAAGTACAGCCATCTCCTGGTTGGAAAACAACAGCTGTTTATTCATGTAGCACTAGCAAAGCAGTAGATGGAGAGTACCATCTGAAAATTCACATCTATGCAAAAATATTTCTTCCATTGCTAGGGAAGCTTACTTGGTAGCTATACCTTTGATTCATTAGTTCTGGTTTATGTGCTTGCATCTGCCCACAAGAGTCAGTTTTAAACATATATAGACACGCTACAATAGATTATGAAGGTTATTATGTTTTCTTAAAGAGATTAAAAGATAGTGCTTGGACTTGCAATAACATGCTAAACAATGTTTAAAAATAATTACAAAAGCCAAAAGTTAGCAGCAGAATTAGTAACATATATAAAAAGGAAATAGAAATTCCTATTGCTACATTTTATTGAGTTATAATTTTTGTTATCTTAAAAAACAAATTTAGTAGGTCAAATACATAGTGATTTTGCATCCATTTTGTATGGATAATACTGAAATCTAAAAAAGTGAAACATGTCAGGAATAAATAATATTTAATTAGAAACCAGTTTTTGTGCAGTACTGCATGGGGCTGGTCTGATGCTGGAGAACCAGCACACCCACCTTTGCATCCAGAGGGGATTCTAAGGCATGGAGAGGTTTTCAGTTTGGAAGGAACTGCCACAATTAGCTGTTTTGAACTTGCATTCATGCGGGCTGCACCCACCCTTCAAGTAATTTCCCCCTCATTTTCAATAACTGTGGTTGAACGGGTCCAGATCTTCTAGCTAAAAGATCTAATTTCCTACTTACATATGAGAAAAAGGTGACTTGTTCAAGATCATTAATGTTATCTGATAAGATGGAGCTTCAGCTTCCTAGACTCCATACAATCATCTCAGGTGTATTACATCTCTACAACTGCATTTTGTTTAGGACGAATGGAGAAATGTATGGATTTTTATGACTGTTTACACTTTACCTTTTTATGACATATAAATACATTTATGCTCTTTGCCTTACCTGTTGTCAGCTTCCACCCTCAGAGCATGGGCAAATAGTTGTAGCACAAGTGAGGAGGTGGGGAACTCTTAAAGTGCATCAGCTGCTGATAAAATAAAAACTCATTTGGCAGAATATTCCCTTGAGAAGGTCCTCTCCCTCTT